ATTTGCTGTTATGTTAAACTTATATTAAAGTTTTTCTTCATTACCCATTCAAGCCGTCTCCAGCCATTATTAATCTCAAAGTGGGTTCCTCGTCATCAAATTTGAATCCATATAGATATAATAATGGTGGTGAGGGAACTATAAAAATAGAATCCGCAACTCACCATTGTGGAGCCTCCAGGTAGATTGTAGAATGATGGACTGAGAGAGACAGATGAAACTGCAATGTGGTGTAAGTAACAGAGCATAAATGTGTTGCAGGCTGTCTACGTCCCCACCTGCAAGATATCATGCAGGAGATATTGCTGCTAGAGGCCAAAGAAGCCATAAGATAATAAACTTGATAAAAGGTGACATGAAAAAGACAAAAGGCACTATTTCCCATGGAACTATAAACAAGCTAGATGAGTCGTTTAACCATACCAGTCCAACTGGAAGGAGATAAGTCATGAGAAGAAAGTGAATCCCATGGCAAGAAAAAATGATTTTGATCACCTTGAAAGAGAAAGGTATGAGCAAAATAACACCACACTGCTCAAACAGGACAGAGAAAATCATAATCAGAATAATCACACAGAGAAGAAAGGTAGAGTGATTAGAAAAAATATACAATTGCCCTTCTAAGTAGCCTAGATCTTTTGAAGGAAGGAACAGTCTGGGAAAAAATTAACCTGTCCCTATAATAAAGAGTGTGGAAGGCATCCAAAGCAAAACTGTTGGAGCAACATCTCCCAAAAGTGAGAAGTAAAAGAAAATACATCTTTAGAGAAAGATTGTACAGAGAACATATGGCCAAAGGTTCAAACAGGAGACAAGATGAGAACTATGAGAACAAAATAGAGGTTCCAGTCCAGAACTGGACAAGATGCAAGACTGATGAGAAAGGCTTGGAAGATATCCATAAGAACCAGAGAAAGAAAAGGAAAATGGCCAGGGAAGAAATGGAAGATCATTGACAAAGTCGTTCTACAATTGTTGATAGTAGAAACAAATAAAAAAGGAATGAAATGAAGAAGAGTTGAATGACATGTAGGAAGGGAGTAATGAATGGACCAGTGTCAGAAAACCCTACAATTATCCTCTTAAAGTGCAAGACTAAATTGCAAGATTTAGTGATCAACAACTCTTATGTTTTTTAATATACAATGTTAGAGGATATTTTCTTATGAATACACATTTATAAATCAATTATCAGAAGAGATATTCAGTAGGCTGGATATTTTTCTTTTGTACTCTTTGTAAAATTACAACTACAAACACATAAGTATATAACACAAAGCTAATTTATTATAGGTAGTTTGCAATAAAAACTTCCAATTAGGATTTCTCACTGAGATATCCTTGTTCATTTCTTAACATTAAAGAATTTAAGGTTGTGATGTAAAAAAAATAATCATTCTGCATTTTGTGGAAGCAGCTGGATTTCTATGCTTTGTAAAGTGTTACCAGGTTCTGATAACGTGTTCACTATACACATTGTTGGCTGGACAGGAATCTTCATGCCAACTGTGATAGTAATGGAAATGTGTCTTTGTTCAGTTTCCACCACAATAATAGATTAATTAGATTGTTAATTTAGAGTGGTAGATATAAATGGAAATTAAATTCCCTGTTAACAGCAAATTTTTCTCATGACTGTTTAAAGAATATCATTAATGCAATAAATGCCTGAAGGTATTTCACTTTACTAATCTCAGAATGAGCCATGTGTCTCCTGCCATGAACTTTTAAAGGAAGTGGTGCTAATGGAGAGAATTCATCTATATAACTTCCTCTTGTATAATTTTCTTCAATCAGAATTGATTGTGGAATTGGCAGTGTTAGTGTTTTCTCCATCAAACTGTTTCACTACTTGGTTCTGTTGCTCTTTGAAAATGCTATTTTAAAGCTAGTATATAAGAAACTTGATAATAAGAAATTTAGATTGCTGTGTATTCCAACAAATCTAATTTTGAGCCCCTATTCTCAGGATTACGTTTATTGTTCTCAGTCCAAAGTAACTTGTGATATTCTCAAACAAATAGAATGAAGAGTAGGCACAGTTGGGACAACTTGTGAAATTATGTCTGTGAGGCAACGTGTTTATTAATTTCTTCAAAATATGAAACCATTTGAAAAATGTTTCCAATCGAGACCACTGATAGGCTTTTGGAACAAAAAAAGAGAGAGCAATATGCTGAATTCCATCATGTCTGTACATTTTATATAACTTTCTTCTAAGGCACAATTAAATTATTTTGTATAGATATTAATTCTGAACATGCTGGAAACAAGTTGTTCAAATGTGTAACAATCTTTCTATTGGCTCTTATGATATTACCTGGAGCTCACTGGGATTCCAGATCTTTCATGATCACATGTTGTAATATATGAAAGAAACATGATTCATTTGACAATCCTGCATCATTAAAACCTTTCACAATATTAGATCTAGTATATCTTTTATTAGATTTTTCTTTTTTGATTTTCCATATACTATTAGCTCTTCCAACATTTTTTATATTGCATTACCAGTATAATAGTGTTTAATATTAAGAGCAGCATATTGTAAATCCATATGTTCTGTGACCCAATGGCCTGTGAAACTAATGAAATTGTTTCTTGTTCAGTGTTGATCATAATCAGATATCTGATGTTAGAAAAATGACACTGACACTCTAAATCTGACCAGGAATTAGTTTTCCATCTTTCATATACATGTATATATATATATACCGGGCAACATTTCTTCAGAAAAACATGTTTTGCTTTCTTTATCAAGCAATCAAACCTCCCATCAGTAACAAATTAACTTGGTTAGTTACCTAACACAATAATTTTAACTGTTTAACATGATGATCACTAATAATTTCCCATTTTTTTTGTTTTTTTGGTAACTTGAGGCCCCAGTAAACATTGAAATTTGTTGCAACTTACTGTGGTCTTAAGCATTGGGCTAATAGAAGCTGCCACTACATAAAATTAACTTATTACACAATTTGCACCTCACTTTCAAATCAACTATTTCAAAGTTATTCCACAGAGAATTGTTTTTGCATAATAAATCACTAATGATAATCAATGAACATAGAGGTTATCACATTCATGCAACTTAAGGTAATCATCAACTTAGTCTCAGAGGTCAGTATGTGTACTGTAAATGACAAATTTGTGCATGTCTTGTTTACTGACTATTGCTAAGGCAACACATGATAACATTACAACTTGTATATTATGAAAGACCAGCCTGATATTTAAAGAAGCATTGGACATATCTAAACAACACTACATTCTTTAGTCTCTGTAGAAAAGCATGGCAGTTTTAAGACACTAAACAGGATCAACAACAATATTATTCACCTCCAATTATTACATTACATAGTCTTTATTAAACTTTCATTATTGCATCCTACTCAGTCTATAATATGTATTCCTTTTTTCAAAATTTCTTGTATATGCCCTATAGTTTCCAGCGTGCTGTGAAACAAATGAAACTGTTTTCATGAAACAATCAATTATTATGTGGCTTAATATTCCATTATTCTGGCCACATATACAGTACATGGCCAAGACCATTACATCTTAAAACAAGAGCATAACTGTTTGAATTTTCAGTTGTTTTATGTATTCGTCCAAAGTTTATAACCATGAGAAATCTACTTCATCTAAATCTAAAAAACTCTTCAACTTGGCAAATACTATATTTGTTGGTGTACAAGTCTACATGGTATATAAGTCAACCCATGTTTTATAATTATCCATTTGTAAAAACATTCTATGTAAATATGAATGTTATAAACCACTGTTTATGAAGATGAATAGCTTTTACAACACAATATTTCACGCCTCTTATACATCAACTTTTCAATTGTAAAGTTAAAGATTTTAATTGTTTTCTTAAAATGGTGTGTCCTGCAGTGGTCCATTCTCTGCAGTCACAAAGAGTATGAAAGTAAACAAAATGAAAAAGACTTGTCAAAATCAGTTTAAATTTTGAAGATTTCATCACCAAAATTATTGATATGTTGCATAAGTCGAGGCAGAAATTTAAGGATAAATATTTTGGCTTCAATCTTTGACTTATACACCATCAAATACATTAATATAAAAGTGTTGACTTATACACCATCAAATACATTAATATAAAAGTGTTGACTTATACACCATCAAATACAGTAATATAAAAGTGTTGACTTATACACCATTAAATACATTAATATAAAAGTGTTGACTTATACACCATTAAATACATTAATATAAAAGTGTTGACTTATACACCATCAAATACAGTAATATAAAAGTGTTGACTTATACACCATCAAATACATTAATATAAAAGTGTTGACTTATACACCATCAAATACATTAATATAAAAGTGTTGACTTATACACCATCA